CTCCCACCGCCGGCCCGGAGGTGGGATTAGGCCGGGCTTTGGCTGATCCCCTCCCAGCAGCCCGGCTTTATAAATCCCCCGCGGCCGCCGGGCGCGGCACCCGAGGGTGTCCGGGGCGGCGGCGATGGCGCAGCAGCGCCGTGTCCAGCTGTCCACGCAGCGCCCGGGCAGCACCGTGTGCGTGCTGGGCACCGAGCTGGCCCTGGACGTGTGCGGGTGAGCGAGGGCACAAATCCGCTTTTCCCCCTTGATCCCATCAGGCGAGAGCCCGAAAATAGCGCGGGCAGGGGCGGGGGCGGGGCTGCTGCTCCAGGGGCTTTTCCCAGGGGATGCGGTCCCGGGAGGGGTGAGGGATGGCACTGCCGGTGTCCCTTCCCAATGTCCCTTCCCAGTGTCCATCCCCTGTCCCTTCCCCCTGTCCCTTCACTGGGATGATATTCCCAGGGTCCATCCCAGTGTCCATCCTCTCTGTCTATCCCAGTGTCCATCCCGCTGTCCATCCCTCTGTCCATCCCTGTGTCCATCCCTGTGTCCACCCCTGTGTCCACCCCTGTGTCCATCCCTCTGTCCATCCCTGTGTCCACCCCTGTGTCCACCCCTCTGTCCCACACAGCCTCTCCGGACACCCCCACAGCAGCGGGACCGCCGCATTCCCAGCGGGATTTCGCCACTTTTGGGGCGCCACCAGCCCTTTTTGGGATTTTTGGGATTCCCACGCTGCGCTCCGCATCCCGGCGGGATTTGGAAAACCTTTCCCAGTCCCGGGGGGAGGCGGAGAGCGAAGCCCCGGCCCGGGCGGCCCCTCCGGGCTCCGGAGCCGCTGCCCAAATCCCGGATTCCCTTCCCAAATCCCGGATTCTCTTCCCAAATCCCGGATTCCCTTCCCAAATCCTGGATTCTCTGCCCCGGCTCCGGCCCCAATCCCGGCGCTCCGGGTTTTTGTTCCCCGAGCGGCGCTCGGGGTTCATTCCCCGTCCTCTCCCGCTGCTCCAGGCTGGGATTTTCCCCCTTTTCCAGGGCAGGGATCCGCGTTTCCTTCTCCCGGCTGCGCTCCGGGCCCATGGCCCGCAGCCCCGGGCGGGGCGGGACGGGCTCGGGCCTGCGCTGCGCCGCTCGGGAAATGCCGATTTTGGGGAGATCCACGCCCCAAATCCCCCCCGGGCTGCTCCGGGATCGATGGGAGCGCGGCCGGGTCCCGTCCCCGCTGCCCTCGGGAGGTTCGAGGATTTTATTCCAAGATTTGGGGCGTTTCGGGGAGATTCCCGCAGTTATTTTTGTGGGATTTATTCCCCTTTATTCCCCTTTTTTTCCCCTTTCCCATGGCGGGATATCCCCCGATTTGGGGCGTCTCGGGGGGATTCCCGCGGTTATTTTTGTGGGATTTATTCCCGTCTATTCCATTTATTCCCAGGCGCGCTTCGCACCTGGAATATCCCCGGATTTGGGGTTTTTGAGGAATTCCCGCCGTGCGTTCGGAGCCGCCGCCTTTCCCAGCCTCGGGCGGGATTTGCTTTAATCCCTTTCGGGAATTTGTCGGAATTGCCTTTTCCAGGAGCGGCTGCCCGCACCTTTTGGGGGATTTGCCGCATATCCAGGGAATTGCCGCAATTCCAGGCTGCGGGATTTGCTGCGGGTTGTGAGATTTTGCCTCCCACTGAAGGATTTTTCCCAATTTCATCCCTCAGCACCCCCTGCGGTTGCATTTCTCGGGATTAATTCCATTTTCCAGCAGCTGTTGCTATTCCGGATTTCAGGGTTTGTTTGCATTAAAGAGTTTCACATCTCAGCACTTGTTGCCTTCGCGTTTTCCAGGATTATTTGCATTTTCAATGATTTTTTGCTCTCCCAAATTTCAGGATTTGTTAGGGTTAAAGATTTTATAACAATATAACAATTTCGTATCTCAGGGCTTGCTGCTGTTGCGTTTTCCGGGGTTATTTCCATTTTCCAGGACCTTTTCCTGTTCTAAATTTCAGGGTTTGCTCCACATTGAAGGACTTATCCCAATTTCATATCTCAGCCCCTGTTGAAATCACATTTTCCAGGAATATTTACTTTTCCCAGGACTCATCCATATTCCAAGCCCCAGGATTCATTCCCTGCTGAAGGATTTACCCCAACTCCACATTGCAGCCGTTGTTGAAATTGCATTTTCTGGGAATATTCGTGTTTCCCAGGAATATTGGTGTTTCCCGGCAATATTCGCTTTTCCTGGGAATATTTGTGTTTCCTAGCAATATTTGCATTTCCCAGCAATATTTGCTTTCCCTGGCAATATTCGAATTTCCTGGTAATATTCGCATTTCCAAACAATATTTGCATTTCCTGGCAATAGTCACGTTTCCCAGGAATATTTGTGTTTCCCAGTAATATTTGCGGGAATATTGGCAATATTTGAGTTTCCCAGCAATATTCACATTTCCCAGGAATATTCGTGTTTCCTGGGAATATTCGCATTTCCCTGGAATGGTTGCGTTTCCCTGGAATATTGGCATTTCCCGGTAATAATCACGTTTCCCAGGAATATTTGCTTTTCTTTGCGATGCTCGCGTTTCCTGGGAACATTCACATTTCCGGGAATATTTCCATTTCCTGGGAATATTTGAGTTTCCCAGCAATACTTGCATTTCCCGGGAATATTCCCGTTCCCCAACAACATTCCTGTTTCCCAGTAATATTCCCATTTCCTGGGAATATTTGTGTTTCCCTGGAATATTGGCGTTTCCCAGGAATATTTGTGTTTCCCTGGAATATTGGCGTTTCCCAGGAATATTTGCGTTTCCCGGGAATATTGGCGTTTCCCAGGAATATTTGTGTTTCCCAGGAATATTGGCATTTCCCAGGAATATTTGCATTTCCTGGGAATTTTCACGTTTCCCGGGAATTTTCGCCTTTCCGGCTAACATTCCCGTTCCCGCGGCTGTTCCAGCTCGGCTCCGCGGGGCGCAGCGGCGTTCCAGGCCCAGGCCACGCCGGGGGTGAAGCTGTGGGTGCTGCGCGAGGCCAGGAGCGTCAAGCTGCCCTCGAGCGTGGGGCGCTGGCCCCTGGCCCCCGGCCCCGAGCTGCTGCTGGCCATGGACGCGCCCAGCAAGGACGTGGGCGACGAGAAGGTGGGACACGGATCCTGGCAGATCCCGGGATTCCTGCTGGATCCCGGGATTACCGCTGAGGGCTGGGATTGCTGCTGGGTGTTGGGATTCCTGCTGGATCCCGGGATTCCTGCTGGATCTCGGGATTCCCAATGGGATTCCTGCTGGGTGTTGAGATTCCTGCTGGATCCCGGGATTCCTGCTGGATCACCGGATTCCCAATGGGCGTTGGGATTCCTGCTGGGCATTGGGATTCCTGCTGGGTGTTGGGATTCCCACGGGATCCTGGATTTACTGCTGGGTGTTGGGATTCCCGTTGGATCCCAGGATTCCCGTTGGGTGTTGGGATTCCTGTTGGGTGTTGGGATTCCTGTGGGGTGTTGGGATTCCTGCTGGGTGTTGGGATTCCCATTGGATCCCGGGATCCTGCCCGGCTGGCTCGGTGCCTCGTTGCAGGTCAGGATTTCCTATTTCCGCGAGGCCGGTGGGGTTCCCGTGGGCCGGGCCGTGCTCTACCTCACCTGCGTGGGTAAGGGGGAACGGCCCCAAAGCCCCGTTCCCAAAGCACCATTCCCGGGATTTCCCCCTTTTCCCATCTCGTCCCTGCTCCCGCAGAGGTGTCGCTGGACGCTGACGTCAACCGCAGCGGGGCCGTCAGCCGGACACTGCTGGACAAGGTATCCCGAGGGGCTGGGGAGCAGCCTGGGATTGGGAATTCCTGGTTTACCCCCAGATCCCAATGGGATTGGGAATTCCTGGTTTACCCCCAGATCTCAATGGGATTGGGAATTCCTGGTCAGATCCCAATGGGATGTGGGAATTCCTGGTTTACCCCCAGATCCCAATGGGATTGGGAATTCCCATCTGACCCCCAGATCCCAATGGGATTGGGAATTCCCAGCTGACCCCCAGAACCCAATGGGATTGGGAATTCCTGGCTGAGTTCCCTGACCCCGATAGGATTGGAAATTCCTGGCTGAACCTCAGATCCTGATGGGATTGGGATTCCTGGTTTACCCCCAGATCCCAATGGGATTGGGAATTCCCAGTGACCCCCAGACCCCAATGGGATTGGGAATTCCCAGTGACCCCAAGCCGCTCCGTGTCCCCCAGGCCAGCTGGACGTGGGGGCCCGAGGGCCACGGGGCCGTGCTGCTGGTGAACTGCGACCGCGACGACGCCGGCGCCGAGGGCCTGGACAACGAGGACAGCGCCGTGCGCTCCTACAACGGTCCCGCACGGCTCTGAGCCCCAGACTCCCACTTTTCCCTCCATTTTCCCATCTTCCCGCCATTTTCCCACCTTTCCCGCCATTTTCCCATCTTCCCGCCATTTTCCCACCTTTCCCGCCATTTTCCCACCTTTCCCGCCATTTTCCCACCTTTCCTGCCATTTTCTCTTCCTTCCACTGCCCAAACCCCATGTTTTCCCACTTTTCCCCTCAATTCCCCCTTTCCACCACAGCCCAGAATCCCCAATTTTCCCTCCCTTTCCCCCAAGTTTTCCCCCTTTTCCCTCAGTTTTCCCACTTTTCCCTCAATTTTCTCTTCCCACCCCAGCCCGGAAATCTCAATTTCCCCACTTTCCCCTCAATTCTCTCCCGCTTTCCCCTGAGTTTTCCCTTTTTTTTCCCACAGCCCAGAACCCTCGATTTTCCCACTTTCCCGGCCGTTTTCCCGCTTTTCCCCAGGTTTTTCCCGGTTTTCCCTGAGTGGTTCCCGTCTCCCCAGACCTGCAGGACATGTCGCAGCTGGTGCTGCGGACGCGCGGGCCCCGCGCCATCTTCGCCGGCCACCGCCTGCTGCTCCACGTCGACTTCGGCGACGCCGACAAAATCCGGGTTTTCTACGGCGGCGGTGAGCGCCCGGATTTGGGGGATTTGGGGGATTTGGGGGATTTTGGGGGAACAGACCCCCCTGGATCACTGGGATCAACCCCAAATCCTTGCACTGCTCACCCGGCATCCCACAGCGGGATTGGGCTGATCCACGCGGGGTTTGATCCGGGCGGGGCGAAATCAGCGGGTTTTGGGGTGGATTTAGGGACAAAGTGGGAGCGCTGTGGGAATGGGGCTGGATTTTGGGAACACCAGGGGAATGGGGGTGGGTTTTGGGATTGCTGTGGGAATGGGGCTGGGTTTTAGGAACACTGTGGTGTGGGGCTGGGTTTTGGGTTTGAGGTTTCCGTGTCCTGCAGACAGTGCGGAGCTGGAGAAGTTCCGGCACGTTCTGGGGGGCTCCAAGCTGGCCTACACCGTGCGGCCGAGCCGGCACTGCCACGAGAGCGTCTTCTACGTGGAGGGCCTGGCCTTCCCCGACGTGGCCTTCTCCGGCCTCGTGTCCCTGCACGTCACCCTGCTTGAGAGCCCTGAAAAGGTCCAGCTGGGGTGTGTGGGAGGGTGGCACAGCGGGGACAGATCCCAAACTCCATCCCTGCCATCCCAAGAGTCTGGGACATCAGGGACAGATCCCAAACTCCATCCCTGCCATCCCAGGAGGGTGGTACAGCGGGAACAGATCTTAAACTCCATCCCCACCATCCCAAGCGAGTCTGGGCCATCAGGGACAGACCCCAAACTCCACCCCTGCCATCCCAAGAGAGTCTGGGACAGCGGGGACAGACCCCAAACTCCATCTCCACCATCCCAGGGCCTCCTGGAGTGGCCGGTCTTCACGGACTCCGTGGTTTTCCGCGTGGCTCCCTGGATCATGACGCCCAACACGGCAGCACCACTGGAGGTCTTTGTCTGCAGGTGGGTGCCGGCTGCTCCCACCCTGCCCGCCGCCCGATCCGCTCCCAAATCCCGATTATCCCGTTTTTCCCCCAGCGTGGACAACAACGAGGGGTTCGTGGCGGCCGTGGGCGAGCTGGCCGAGAGGGCGCAGTGCCCGCTGACCGTGTGCCCGGCACAGCAGAACCGCCAGGACCGCTGGATCCAGGTGGGAACACGGCGTGCCCGGCCCCTCCGCGCCGCGGCAGCGCCGGGGGCATTCCCAAAATTCTCCGTGCCTTCTCCAGGATGAGATGGAGTTTGGCTACGTCCAAGCCCCCCACAAGACCTTCCCTGTGGTCTTTGATTCGCCCAGGGACCTCGGCCTGAAGGATTTTCCCATCAGGAGCATCCTGGTATCCAGCCCCTGCCTCCTGCCTTGCCCAGCTTGGCAACCCCCTGAAAACTGGGATAAACCCCTTTAAAAACTGGGATAAATCCCTTTAAAATCTGGGATAAATCCCTTTAAAAACTGGGATAAACCCTTTTAAAACCTGGGATAAACCCCTTTAAAAACTGGGATAAACCCCTTTAAAAACTGGGATAAATCCCTTTAAAAACTGGTATAAACCCTTTTAAAATCTGGGATAAACCCCTTTAAAACCTGGGATAAATCCCTTTAAAAACTGGGATAAACCCTTTTAAAATCTGGGATAAACCCCTTTAAAAACTGGGATAAACCCCTTTAAAACTGGTATAAACCCCTTTAAAAACTGGGATAAACCCCTTTATTTCCTGAATTTTCAGGGTGGGAAGCTCCAGCACAAGATTTGGGGGTGCAGTGCTTTGGTGCCAACAGCTGCATTTTTAAACCGTTTTCTCCCATTTTCCCCCCACACCCAGGGCCCCGATTTTGGCTACGTGGCCCGGCAGGCTCCGGAGGGCGCTTCCAGCCTGGATTCCTTCGGGAATTTGGAGGTGAGCCCTCCCGTGACGGTGGCGGGCAAGGAGTACCCCTTGGGGCGCATCCTGATCGGCAGCAGCTTCCCCAGGTGAGCCGGCAGCAGGAGAACCCCAAAGGAAAAGGATTTCCCGGCCGGCTTTGGGGTCGGCTCCCAGCGGGGTGCCCCAACCGGCCGGCGCTCCCCCAGGCTGGGTGGCCGCAGGATGGCCAAGGCCGTGCGGGATTTCCTGCTGGCCCAGAAGGTCCAGGCGCCCGTGGAGCTCTTCTCGGACTGGCTCCACGTCGGGCACGTGGATGAGTTCCTGAGCTTCGTCCCCGCGCCCGATCGGAAGGTGAGGAATCCCGGGACGGGGAAAAAGCGGGATGAGACCCTCGGAGCCCTCCCTGACCTCCTCCTCCTCCTCCTGGCCCGCAGGGATTCCGGATGCTCCTGGCCAGCCCCAGCGCCTGTTACCAGCTGCTCAAGGAGAAGCAGGAGGAGGGGTTCGGAGAGGCTGCCATGTTCCAGGGTAGGGGGGGACGGGAAAAGGGGCTCCGAGCGTCCGTTTTCCCTTTTTCCTGCAAAACGCGGTGGGGGAGGTGGCTGGACCCTGAAAGCCGGCTGGGAACTGGGGGCAGAACGGAGCAGAATTAATGAATGAATTAATTCACAACACGGATCGCGTTCCCTGAGCTCTGGGGTCACAGCAGGGGTCTCATCCCCACCGAGCTGGGCAGGATTCCAGCCTGGCTCCCTCTGGGCAGGGTTGGACAGGGACGGGGTGCCCAAGCCGACCATCAACGAGATCCTGGCTAACGAGGAGCTCCGCAAGTTCAACGAGTACGCCCAGGTGAGGGCAGGGAGCAGGAGGCTCTGATCCATGTCCTTCTGTCCCCTCCTCCCTCTTTCCTCCCCTCCAGACATCCTCCATCACCACCCCCGCTTCATCCATCTCCCCATTGCTCTGTCCCTCTGTCCCTCCCTCTGTCCCTCCCTCTGTCCAGCCTTCCGTCCATCCATGGATCCATCTATCCATCCATCCATCCATCCATCCATCCATCATCCATCATCCATCCATCCATCCATCCATCCATCCATCATCCATCCATCCATCATCCATCCATCATCCATCCATCCATCCATCCATCCATCCATCATCCATCCATCCATCCATCCATCCATCATCCATCCATCCATCCATCATCCATCCATCCATCCATCCATCCCTCCATCCATCCATCCATCATCCATCCATCATCCATCATCCATCCATCATCCATCCATCATTCATCCATCCATCATCCATCCATCCATCCATCCATCCATCCATCCATCCCTCCATCCATCCATCCATCCATCATCCATCCATCATCCATCCATCCATCCATCCATCCATCCATCCATCCATCATCCATCCATCATCCATCATCCATCCATCCATCCCTCCATCCATCATCCATCCATGGATCCCTCCCTCCCTCTGTCCACCCCTCTCTCCGGCCCATCCAGGCTCCCATCCCTCTCTCCCTTTCCCTCTCCCTGTCCCTCCATCTCCCCTTCCCGTTGTCCATCTCCTGACGCTCTGTCCCTCCCGGCTCCCAGAGCTGCATCAGCTGGAACCGGGATGTCCTGAAGCGCTCGCTGGGCCTGGCCGAGCCGGACATCCTGGACATCCCGCAGCTCTTCCAGGGCGATGCCGCCTCCGGTGCCCAGGCTTTCTTCCCGGACATGGTAACGGCACCCCCGACCTCCCCGGGATGGGATCGGGGCTGGGATGGGACTGGGATGGGGCTGGGATGGGATCGGAGACAGGATTTTCCTGGGTTGGGATTGGGGCTGGGAGAATGGCCAGGATGGGATCAGGGCTGGGATGGGATCAGGGGCGGCATTTCCCTGAATGGGATCAGGGCTGGGATTGCAGCAGGGATTTCCCTGGAATTGATTGGGGCCAGGATTTCCTGGGCTGGGATGTCCCTGGGATTTCTCCAAGATGGGATCAGGGCCAGGATTTCCCTGGATGGGATCAGGGCTGGGATTCCCCAGGATGGGATCGGGGCTGGGATTCCCTGGGATGGGATCAGGGCTGGGATTCCCCAGGATGGGATCAGGGCTGGGATTCCCCAGGATGGGCTCGGGGCCGGGATGGGATCCCGCTGGAATCTCGGCGCTGCAGGTGAACATGCTGGTGCTGGGCCGGCACCTGGGCATCCCCAAGCCCTTCGGGCCCGTGGTGGGCGGGCGCTGCTGCCTGGAGCAGCGCGTGCGGGAGCTGCTGGAGCCGCTGGGCCTCTCCTGCACCTTCATCGACGACTTCTTCTCCTACCACGTGCTGGCCGGGGACGTGCACTGCGGCACCAACGTGCGCCGCAAGCCCTTCGCCTTCAAGTGGTGGCACGTGGTGCCCTGAGCTGCCCTCCCCGGGACGGGTCCTGCAGGGAAAGGTGCATTTCCTGCATCCCCGGGGAGCAGAAGATGTATTTCCTGCATCCCTGGGGAGCAGAAGATGCATTTCCTGCATCCCCAGGGAGGGGAAAGATGCATTTCCTGCATCCCCAGGGATGCAGGAAATGCATCTTCTGCT